GACTAGACGATCTCCAGAGGTCCCTTCCAATGCCTGCCAGTCTGGTTCTGTGACCTTCCTGGGGTTGCAAGTGTTTTTGGGGCTCAATGTTGTCTTAGGTGACTTAATCTGTGCCAGTCCCAGTTTTAGTGCCTTAGGCTTTTTGTTAATGTAGCCTTCAGTCTCCTTATCTAAATTATAACCACGATTACATGTAACTGTGGTTTGTACTTCTAAAAACAGATGTCCTTCAAATCAATTTTCTATAAAACACTTTATACTGAAGATTAATATGCAATTGTAAAATAATCAGTATTACTGAGGCAGAATACGAAATACTCTGAATAAGAACAAATCATGAAAATATGACTTATGTAGCAGCATTTTCTTTCATATCTCACCTTAATTTTATGGGCCTAATAATTAAGTGCCACTGGGACATTAAGTGTGACTTTCCCCAGAACTTCAGTGTCTTTTTCAAAGCCGTATCAGTCAAAGTTACTTGGAAGTTGCCTATAAATTAAGTTTTTTCTAATGCAGATCAGAGACACTGGAGTCTTTGTGTCTAAAGATCCAAACACCAGGATTCCAGCTATGGTGACACAGCAGAGCAGAGAGGCTAATGGGGTTTCAGGTACAGAGAAATGCACTTTGTAGTAATGAACTACAAACTACAGTAAAGAGTGATTAGGCAGTGAGATTGTTTGCTCACAAGGAAATATTTACAATAGTGCGTGCACCTAATTAAGCATGCAAAAGAAGAATATTTGAGAATCCACCTTCTTTCTTTTTTTTTGAGAGCATTTTATAACATTTTCAACTTCATCTCTAAAAACAAATACATTTTATAAACCAAACATCTGACCTGCCTAATTCCTGAAATTCACATGGCATTTTCACAAAGGTTACCTGCAGAGGACGAGAATCACATTTTCCACACCCTGGTGTGGGATATGCAGCATCTGTGCAGGCAATTCGTGCCTCATATTGCTTCCCCTTGGCTCAGCACTAAACCAGTACTGTGTCAGCGATGTCAGGGCTACCCCTGACTATTACTGAAGGCAAAAACCTACCACTGTCTCCACTGCCTGTGACCTGCTGATAGAAAGAGTTACTGGATAATCCATCCGCATGGGAATATACCCATTATAGTCTGTCCTTGCTCTCTTCTGTGCAGTGTATCGGGCCATGGCAGATGACACCCTGTGGACTGCTACACCACATGCTTTTTCCTCCCCTGCACACCTCCAACACTCCCCACTCATCACTCTCAATGCTATTTGGGGCCCTGCCGTTAGTCCTGCTGCCTTTTAGTCCTCAGTGCCTCACGGGAAAAGAGGGGCCAGAGCTGAGCTTAGGTGTGAATTTTGCCATAACAGGGCAGAACCGTGCTGCCTACCTACATCTGCACTTGAGTGATACACAAACCAAGGTCTCATGATTTCACACAACGATACAATTTCCCTGGGCATCTGAATTTCTGGTTTACGCTTTTTTTTGCCTAGCAACATTTCTGCTCTTAAGTAAAATTTGTCATTATCTAAGATGTAGGTGTATTCTTAATTGAGCAATGCAGAAATTTTCGTTCTGGCTACTGCTTACTGAATACATGATATCTGTACAGTAATTTTGAGTTATTGGACACGAAACTTGAAATTAATTAACAGTGTTACTCAGTGCTCTCACCCTCCTGAGGACACATACGCCTGTCCACAAGCGAGTATTCATGGCTACATGCTAACCTCTAATCAGCGTAGGTCTGGCACTTCTTCAGCTTTTCCTCTCCCCAAATTCTTTGGTATTTTCACCCCTAAATTAGTAGAAATATGAAGAGATTTGAACTGTTATGTATATAATTTTACAGTATTTTGTATCATCCTCAGGCATTTCTGATCATTCCCTGGCGCAAAAGACATTGTGTCCCGACTCCAAGACTTACCTCGGAGAGCATTATAACACACACTCTCTCTTCGGCTGGTCACAGACAGCACCAACTTTCCAGTAAGTTTTCTAAGTATTTCTAAGTAGATTTCAGGTGTCTGAAATATCTTTTAAAAGCCGCTGATATTATTTGGGAAATCTGTAATATCATCTAATTAGAAACAGCCCCATGCTTTATTATTTGTCTTTTAGTAAGAGATTTCAAGAAAACGGAACCTTCAAAAAAGAAAAAGAATCTTTTCCAATTTTACTTTTCTTAGTTAAATTCAGGATCTACTTGTAGTGCCTAACTCTTCAGCTGCTGCTTTTGTATAACTAGAGCAAGATGTTCTTATTCTCTGTTAGAGCTGCTCACATGCAGCTGCTGCAGAAGCAGCCTTGTGTGGCATCAGGGGAATTTTTCCATCCCTTCGTTACCATGGCCCAAACAGAGGAATTTCTGTCACTGCCAGTGAAGGACCTGAACTGCACATCTCCCCTGGCTGTTTCTGGAGCTTTTTGGTTTGCATTTTGTCTTGGGGTTTAGTCAGTCCGGGAGGACAGAGCTGCACTGCAGCACAGTTGCTGTCAGCTACTGTAAAACTCATTTTGCAGTTGGGAAGCACTCAAAACTATCTTAGACAGTCAGACTGTTGCTGTGAATCTGGAGTGACAGTGGAAAGCTAGCTGTTGGATTAAATCAAATGGGCAAATCATGCCTTTTCCAGCAGAGACTGAGCTAAAACATGGATAAGTTTAATACCGCAATGTAAGTGCCAAAGCAAGGGTCCTTGTGCTGGCTTATTTCAGCATTTAGCACTCATTTTCAGCAGTTGTATTGTGATAGCATCCAGACGACATGGCTAAGTGAACCTGCTTACAGTGTTGATGCACTTGTATTTTGTACATCAAGCCTGGGGGAAGTGAAGTGCTAGGTAAAAGCCAGAAACTGTTTGCCAGCTCTTGGCCTGACTGAAAAGCATTCCAGCTTCTGAGAGAAGGAGCAGAAAGCCCTTGAACCCTGGACCTCTCACTGGCCACCCAGCCCAGCTAGAACATATGGGACACTGCATGGTTTTTGGGCCCCTATGCCCCAATCTCAGCAAAGATCCTCTCACTAGTGGTCTCTCCACTGGGATTTGTCCTCTGCACACTGGGGTCCACATAACTATACACTGTCTTGGTAACGATGTTTGAATAGAGATTTTGGATTTGCCTGTTTTCTTGAGCTGGTTTTTTTTTATTTTATTCTGGCTCTGTGCTAGCAAAGCCAACTGCCTGAGACAAACCCTGTGAATTTAGCAGGAAAAGCTCCGTGTGCTGGCATATCTGTCCCAGCCCCTTCAGCATGCACGCTGTCCCATCCGCACTAATCTGGACCAATGCCATTGGGATGGTTACTGCTGCACAGCTCCTTGCAGCCTCCCTGAGGTCTGTGAACCTTCACCATTTCTGCAGCACTTGCTTCCAGGGCTTATTCCAAAAGAAACACAGATTTTGCTCAGCCAAATATAGCGTCCTTCAAAGCTGGAGAGCACCACCAAAAGCACAAGCAGAGGCCAGATTCTCTGCAAAGCTGGGAAACTTTGGTGAAGAATTTTTCATATATATTCATTTGGGTTTCTCAAACACATTTTTTTTCAAGGCTGGTTTTATGCTCTTTCTGCATTCACTCTTCACAAATAATATGTTAAATTAAATTACTAACAGGAATATTTAGCAAACCAGCACCAATTGCAGGATATTGCCTGAAAATGACTGACAGGTTCATAACCGTATAAAAAACAATTCTAAGAATTATTTTAACGCATCCAGAGAACAGGAAATGTATCATCTGACCCGTGTCAAATGGCTTGAATTTGGATACATGAACTAACAGCAATCAGCTTGTGCATAGCTTAACACCACGAGCCATTTGCACATGGTATTCTGTAAATAATTTCAGTCAACAAATACATTTGACATCAGGACCTGTTCAGCAATGGTTCACAACAGACTAAAATTTATTCAATAAATTACTTGTTGCAAATTGTTTATGCAGTTCTGGGTTGTAGTTGAGCTGATCCGATGTTGCCTTCATTAGCACCTGCATTTGTAAATGGAGACAAAGATTTGTGCTGCACAGCCAGAGGAGAGGACTTGTACTCAGGACATCCATGAAATGCCTCCAAAATGCCATTTATACAAAGCACATGGAGTCTTGTGCAGTTGTGGGACCCAGCAGGGAGCTTACAACTCAGAACCAGCAGGTCCCATGTGGTTCAAGAATTGCACTTCTTGCTGCATATGGCCCATTAGGTTATTATGTTTAGGCTTGCATCAAAGCTGTTGGGATTTTGCTTCAGAAACAAATGTTGAAGCATTTCAAAGGCTCTGATCATTACAGAACCAATCCTGAATATCAGCCATGATGAATACGGATGAAAGAGCCCTTGATCAAATGTCATTAAGGAAAGGGAGAAGGAGGTGGATGGTGAACAACATGATTAACATTTCATGCTTGGATTTCCCAGAGAATCTAAATTGTATTGCCCAAATCATGTTAAAACAGAGTTGAAATTGAGTTCCTGCAATACACAATATTGCAATGTGTAATTATGTATAGAGATCATCCTATGTTGAGGAATTCTGTAACAGATTTGTTAATAAGGCATATTGCACTTCCTTGATTTTCTGGTGATGCAGCAAGATTATTTTCAAAAGGCAAGGAAAAATTCATTACACCACTAATTCTGTAACGAAACCTCATACATCAAATAATGACAGGAAACCAGAGGAAATACTACGAGAATGGGGTGACATTTTGAATTATTATATTTTTGCTTTCTATATTGATTATTTCTTTTTTTTTTAAGATGTTCAGATCTAGTTTTGATGGTTTGTGGTGTTTTTTACTTTTAATTCCAAGGTATTAGAACTTTATTTGATAGTACAGATCTCTAAACAAATCCTATATTGAAAAAAATACATATTATACTGTTTTTTAGGAACCTGTAGGATACTAAATTAGATGTACTAATACAGAAAGGAAATTATGTTTCAATTTTTCTGTTTGAAATGCTGTTGAGAATAAATTAAACACAAATTATTTTTAGGAAGACTAAAAATACCTGAAACAAATTGTTTTGTGGATCAGATAGAATTTAGTTTTTTAATTTGGCCACTGAGTAAAACTTCCTGTTATTTGCAGTTTTGCAGCCACATTTTCCTGTGACTTGGGACCACAATAATAATTGTTTCATGAATAACATCCCTTCAGATAAAATTGTGCCTGAAAGCTCAGGTTGATCATGTGACTGTTTAGTTACCATTCTTATTTTTAATGATCTTGATCTTCGTAGAATCATAGAATGGTTTGGGTTCAAAGGAACCTCGAAGATCATCTAGTTCCAACCCCCCACTAGACCAAGTTGCTCAAGGCTCCATCCAACTTGGCCTTGAACACTTCCAGGAATGGAGCATCCACAACTTCCTTAGACAACCTGTTGCAGTGTCTCACCACCCTCAGGGTGAAGATCTTCCTTGCATCTAGTCTAAACTTGCCCTCTCCCAGCCTCCAACCATTACCCCTCATCCTATCACTGCAGGCCCTTGTAAAAAGTCCCTCCCCAGCCTCCTTGTAGGCCCTCTTCAGGTACTGGAATGCTGCTGTAAGGTGTCACCCAGAGCCTTCTCTTCTTTAGGCTGAACAAGCCCAACTCTCTCAGCCTGTCCTTGTAGGAGAGGTGCTCCAACCCTCTGACCATCTTGGTAGACCTCCTCTGGACTCACTCCAGCAGCTCCGTGTCTTTCTTGTGCTGGGGGCTCCAGAGCTGGATGCAGTATTCCAGGTGGGGTGTCATGAGGGCCGAGTAGAGGGGCAGAATCACCTCCCTTAACCTGCTGGCCACGCTTCTTTTGATGCAGCCCAGGATACAGCTGGCTTTTTGGGCTGCAAGCACACACTGTTTACTCGTGTTTGTCCTGTCATCCACCAGCACCCCCGAGTCCTTCTCCCCAGGACTGCTCTCATCCACTCATTGCCCAGCCTGTATCTGTGCTTGGGATTGCCTCAGCCCAGGTGCAGGACCTTACACTTGGCCTTGTTGCATTTCTTGTTGCATTTCTTCCCAGTGTTGTCCAGCAGGCAACTGGAAAGCGAGCATTTGTCTTGAGTCGATCTACATTCGTCGGCAGTGGGAAGCATGGGGGTCACTGGCTGGGTGACAACTTCTCTCAGTGGAAGGACATGCACTACTCAATCATTGGAATCCTGGAATTCAACCTCTTTGGCATCCCCTATGTAAGTCTGGTGTTCTTCAGGCAGTTAGTGGCTCATACACAGTATCATTTTAAATTAACTCAAATGTTTTCTGAACTAAGCTGCTTGAGACGGCCAGCAGTAACAGCCTCCACAGCATAAGGAACCATAGATTAAAAAAAGCTAAATGTCATCAATCTTGGCTGGCTAAAGAGAAACAGAAATAGCACTGCTAGATTCAGATTAAGTCACTGCATGCTGTCCAAACCTGATCTCTTTATATTACGTATTCTATCATTGAGGTCCCTCCATGTATTTCTGGTTTTGCAAGCTGGGCTGGAGAGTTTGTAGAATTATCGAAATGTGGTCAGATCTCCCACAGTGATGTTAATGCTCTAAGAGCCAGTACAGTCTCAGTCCCAGAAAAATTCATATCACTATGGAGCATTCTTATAAAGTCATCAGAAATAGGTATCTCTTTCTGAAAATTATTTTTATTAACAAACTTCTGTAGTTTCTCGTTTTTGAGCCTCGGTCACAATCACAAACACTTATCCCACGATTTTATTTTTTTCTTTAGATTGGTGCTGACATCTGTGGGTTTAACTACAACACTACCTATGAACTCTGCTTGCGCTGGATGCAGCTTGGCTCTTTCTATCCATTTTCCAGAAACCACAATGCAGAAGGAAATAGAGTAAGTAAACCAAGTTACACAAAGCTCTAGTCCACGATTACAGTAATGACGATGGTGATTTGTATTACTTTCTCAGAAATTAACCTGTCATTCTTGGGTAAACTGGAGCGGTGGGTGAAAAGAAGTGGTGCACTGAGAGCAGGAATTACATGGTGAAGTGTAAATTTTTCCCATCTGTAATGTAAGATGACATAGAAATGCTGAAAAATATGTAGTATTTAACATCCAAAAGCCATGCAGAAATGTGTAGTGCATAATTTGAATGACAGAAAATGGTCTTCCCACACTGCTTGTAAGATTTATCTCCTCCATTTTTTGCCTACTGAAGCCTAGGTTTTATTTAAGAGCCAATGAGTGTCAGAGCATTTTCCAACTCCCTTGTTTACTTCAATTTTTGTCTCAGACTTCTGTAACTATAATAGGCACTGCAGGAAGGGGAGGGAGGGCATTATACACCATCCCTGCTGTTTAAAAGCAAGTTTCAGACAAACACCACAGTTAGAAACTCCAGACAAACATGTGAGAACTCCAAGGAGAGCGAGTGATAGCGACAGCACTATCAGCCAAGAATCAACAAAGACTCATAAAGGCCAATGAGCCCATGAGAAGGAGGAAAAAGTGCATTCTCAGTCCAGACCCATGCTCTGGCTTCGACTTATTGTCCTTTCAAGATATTGCAGATAGAAAGAATTATCAGGTTGTTTCTAACTAAGAACAGTTTGAAGGTCTTGCAGCCTTTGTAAGTACACTGTGTTTGTCTGCAACCATGATGAAATGGTTCTGCTAGTTCAATAACTGTCTTTTTTTTTTTTTTTTTCTTCTATAAAGTGATCCATGCAGTGCTGGTGCTCAGGTTATTAGCTAACCTTCAGTTTTCTTTGAAGTTGTATCAAAATGTTGCAACATTTATACCCTCAGAAAGACCTCTGTCTCTGCATGAAAGTATGATGGACATTCAGCAACCAGGCAAATGCAGGAATAATAAGCAATAGTGCTGTCATTAAGACTGTCAGACATCATCCCATAGATCCCCGAGATATGCTGAGGTATTTCTCTCTAGGAGAACAAATATCTGTGAGGTGTTAGCTGCTGCTGTTGATAAATATTTTCTTTTTACTCCTCCACTAAAATTGGAGGTACTTTATCTATATATGTTTGCTTCGCCCTTTGAGCATGCAAACAGGGTCTGACCTAGGGGAGTGGGTGTTAATCACACACGCACAATTTCGTAATCAGGAAAAGAGCAATGGGGTCTACGTGATGGGACCAGCAACTCAATGTGAAGTGAATGACATAAGTAGCAGAAGATACACTTGGTTTTATTGGATTACTTAAATCCATTTAAAAGATTGTATTCACTGAAAGAAATGAACAAGGCATTTTGGGTGACTCAGCATCACCTAAGAAGTCTGACTGTTTTTGTGAACTTAGGCAACATTTGTACAGTGTCAGAATACTGGTAAAAATATAGTGCAATTTTTGAAATAATAGATGGATGCTCTGGAGTTCAGAGCCAGTAGGGAATATTGTCAGTGACTAATTCTGATGTAAACACAATAATGGAGAAATTTAACTTAAATATTGTGTTTAATTAATACTGTTAGTGTTAAAATGGAATCTTAAATATCCACTTTGCCTAATCCGTTGGGGATTTCAAATGGTTTAATTAATAATTTTCTTGTCTGAAAAGCACTAGATAATATAAAAAGCTTTGTTACTTCTATTCCTTTTATGTTTCATTATCCTTGGAATTCATCACACATTCTTCAATTTTAATGAGAAAACTGAGTATTATGGGAAAATTTTGTCAAGGAGGAAGGGAGCCCTGTGACTCGTTAGCTGGCTCAGTTTAGCACTGGAGAAGGTCAGACAGAAGGAATTAAAGGAGCTGTAACTTTTTCCCGTATCAGCACTGTCCCGGGCTGCATGCTCTGCATCCCATGGCAGGGGAGAGTCGCGGTTAGCTTGAAGTAGATCAGAAGCAGCCAATGAGTGTAGACATATTGCTCAAACCTGCCCTCTTCATGATGGGACCTGGAATGCATGCCTTCTTTCCCAGGAGAGCATTGCTGGCAGCGAGGAGGCGAGGGGCACTTCTGACGCGTAGGTGACCCTTCAGTCGGGGCATCCTGAAGTGGTATGCGCAGGAGGAGAAATCAAGTTTCTTTGTATAAATGAAAAGTTTTCCCCACCACACCAATGACTTCAGTCACTCCTGTTGGCTTCAGCAGGGCCATGAATTTATTCTTACTTTTATATAGATTTGCCTTTACATTCTTGGCCAACATAATTACGCTTTTGTTTTGCAGATTATCCGTCTTCCTTTTTTCCTGTGTTTCACCTTCTCTGTCTCATAGTGCTTGCATTTCCATGACGAACTAATTTCTAGAGGCAGAGTGTCTGTTCCTGATCACAGATATGAAACCCCAGCTCCACTCCTGCTAGGGGTGGTTGCAGGCAGCTCATATACGCCAGGGTGGGGCCCGATGCCTCTGAACTGAAGGGAATTTTTCAAGTTGAAAAATTTTATACAAATATTAGTTTGATGATAATGGATGTTGTTCTTCATACATCTTCCAATTTGCAAATCAGTGCTTTTTCTTATTTAAACATTCACTTTTGTAGCATTATGTCAGCCACAGCTCTCCTTAGGTTGAGTACACGTTCTCTGTCGAATTTGCGGTCCCTAATTATAACTCTCAGTATGAATCAAAGCTTTTCCTTAACAGGAACAGGACCCAGCAGTGTTTGGAGAAGAGTTTGCCAAGATATCTCGTGCTACGCTTCGGATCAGATACTCACTGCTGCCATACTTATACACCTTGTTCTTTGAGTCTCATGTTCATGGAAACACGGTGGTGCGGTCGCTGATGCATGAGTAAGTTTGGAGTCTCTCTTTTTAATTGTATTTTACTCACAAAAGTAATTGAACTTCTATGTATACACTAGTTGACATCTGTCTGAGAATAGTCACAGTAATGTTACTGCATGGTCTCTCTTTAAAAGAACAGTTTTACAACGAAATCAAATCAAATTATATGCATAAAAATAACTCTTAATAGACACAATGGATTTTCATTAAAGTATAACCTGTATTTGTTTCAGTGGAAAAAAACTTAAGCAACGAGAATTCTGGAAATTTCTTGTCTTAGGCAAATATGCAGTTCTTTTTTATTTTAAAAATAGGAATCACATACCTGTATTTTCTGTATTTGAATGAAATCTGTGAAATCTGTATTCTGGTCCAGAATTCCAAGAAGGCCTCACACAGAGAAGTCTCCTTTTTCCAATCATCCACAGCATTTGCATTTTCCATTTTAGCACTTGCATCTGCATGATATGTATGAAACCCACATCTGTGTCCACAAATTGCACAAAGAAAACAGAGATAGAGATGCTTGAGTGTAGAAGCAGGTGCAAAATCGAGATTAATAAATACAGACTGAAAAACTGATCGGAAAATGTGACCTCAGATTTTTGGAACAACTCATTTTTTCTGTTTGGAAGAAGAAGGAATCAAAGTGAGGTTTAGTTTCCCTCTCAGCATCTTTTAATTAGCTTTTTACCTGCTTTTGGTAAATTTTGTACTTCAGAATGCTTTATGCAAAAACTTGATCAAAAGGATTGTAAATAATACATATGAAAGGCTACTATCAGAAGTTCTCACACAGTTTAGTCTCATTGGTGCAGGCTACTTCCTGGACTGTTTAATATTCTTTTTCCCTTTAGGTTAAAAACATTTGGTTAAAGGGTAAGGCATTTTTTGCAAATTAAACTGAGATTACAGTAGTGCAGACCATTCCAGCATGGAAAGAATATACACAAAACCTGTTTTGCCTACTCAGGGTAATGTTTAACTAATAAATTTTAAAAGCAGTATCCTTCCTCTTCCTACTCTGCTAGCTCATTTAACTGCGTTACATTAAGGAGAAGTTTTATAGGTACTCGTCTTTCGAGGGGTGATATGCTATATCTGAAGTATTTATTTTAGTTCTATTTTTGCTTAATCATTTTTGTATTAAAACTGGAAATAACTGAGTCAATTTTGGCTTTAATATTAGCTAATCTCTGTTAATATAGAATTATTTTAGTGATGTTAAGCTGCCTTTCTGACCATTCCCAGCATACTTGAACTCTATTTGGGCCACATCTGCATTACCAAATTTCCAAATTTGCTTTGATTTGAACGGTAAAGCAGTCTCTGATGTACCAGGGGAGACTTCGTTGGGTGAAACTGAGCTGAAAGGTGCACTCCAGCCATTGATGGGAGTTCAATCAGTGGGACCAGACTGGGTTTACTAGGAAATAAACCCTCTAAAATGTTTGTAGGGAGTGTAGGCATCAGGAGATCAGCACAAACTGTTTCACTACTTAGGTCCAATCCTAGTAGGCACATCACTTGCTAATATTGCTGTAGCTAGATCCTAAAATGGCTTAGAAGTGTTTCTTACTATTATTAGTTAATTCTGGTTAATATTGTTACTTAATGATTATTTCTCACTATTTCTAATTAATATTAATTGGTTTAGTGGGTCTACTTACGTAGAGAAAGTGACCCAGATGCTAACAGGAGGAGAAACGTGGGTTTTAGAGAAAGACAGAACTGAAACAGAATTTTCAATGTATGGATGAAGGGATTTTACATCAAACCTTTCCCTTACTTATAACAAACACAAAGGAGAACTCAAAAAAAATGTACTGTCTTTTCAGGTGGAGCTGTTATGAGTTCAAAAGCTTCATTGTGAAAACAACCCTGCCTGGGCAGGGAGTCTCCAAGCAATAGCTAGTTCATGTGGTCATTTCAGTTTTTTCATTTCATTTCAAATATTTAGGTGCTCACATCAAATAACAAACAAGAACAACATCCCAGTGGATTTCTATAAGCATTTTAGGTGCCTCTGAGGCTTTCAGTCAGTGAAACAGAGGCGCCAGTAGCTCAGCTGTCCAAAAAGACCAAGAAGTAGAAGGAAAAGCTCTGCTTAATGGCTAAACAGGGGAAAAATAAGACAGAAGAGAGGTCAGCATCTAACCATAGGAAGCTTGTAGATGGAATTAGGCACCTTTTATAGATCACAGATATGGCTTAATGGCTTATATTTTCAAAATGGGAAAGTTCATTTGTTCACTGAATTTGTGTTCGTTGTTGTTATAATTGCAAGAGAAAATAGTGCTGAGTTAGATGGGGAGACACTTGTTTCCATATGCAGTTAAGATCAACTTCTCTTTTGTCAGAATTTCTTGATCAGCTTTTTCTCCTGAAATCTCCCACAACAAAGTATATTGAATCAATATTATAATTTTATTACAGCAAAATTAAAAATACAGAGAGGCTATTGACATGACAAGAAAACCAAAAGTTTTATATTTCAAAAAATTTAAGACAAGGTAATTGGTCTAAAACCACATCCTACTTTAAATATTTACAAAACATTATGTCAAAATGTAATAACGACCAAGGTTAAGGTGTTCAAAAGAGCTACTGTTTTTGACAGAAAATTAACTCTGAATAAATTGAGGTTTCTTTTAGGCAGAGCCTGAGACATGTCTTCAAGAACATTTTTGCCCCGAGTTCCGTGTACTCCCCTAAACTTGCAATGTTTTAGAAATCCAAATACCGAATAGATGTCTTTCTATTGCCAAGGTGGTTTTGCACATTTGGGGTAAATTCTATAAGTCTGGGCTGTGTGCAGTGTATGCCTATGCCCTGAGCAGGCAGGGTATCAGAGAGTCTGCTCCAGCCAGCGTACAACAGAAACCTGCCTCTGGACAGAGGCAGCTGCAAAGTCACTTCAACAGACACAGGAAATAAATTTTTAACAAATAATTTGTACATCCTTAGAGAAGAATACATTTATATGCAACAGCCAGTGTGTATTTGTCAAAAATGAATGATAGTAAACAAGCACAGCTGCCATCTTTGACAAAGGAGCAGGGCTGTTGGACGAAAAAGGGGGCAGAGGAGCTGGAGAAAGCAGGAGGTACAAGGTAGCTTGATTTTAGGAGGGGACACACTCCACGTGACATTTTTATAAGCTAAGAAGGGAATGAGGATCCCTTATGGATTTTCTCAGAGGTAGGCTTACAAATGATTGAAAGCCTATTTAAAGTCTCAAGGATTTTATGTCAGATGAGTGGAGGTTCCTGAGATGGGGAGGATCTCTTTTCTTTGCCAGGTGCTATTCAATATTTTCATTAGCTGATGCATGGTGGAACAGAGATCTCTTCTCAAGCTGGCAGCTAATGCCAGGCGAATGGGACTATAAGTACTCTGGAGGACATGATCAGAATCCAAAATGATTTTAATGCATTGAATAAAACGAATTGAATTTCATAAGTTTTCATCCATTCAGGAAAGGCAGCTAAAAAGGACAATATGTATGAACATTACTTTGTGTTTGTCCTGCAAAATATTTCTAATGTAGATCTGTGAAAGGTGCAGGAAGCCAAATCCAACGATTTTCACAAATGCTATAGATCCTAGAGCACAGTGTTATTCCTCTGTGTTCCCTTTCCTGGTCCTGGCCCATATCCTTCTCTTCGGCTCCCTCGATGAAGTCTTAACCTGCTGGACAGAAATTAAGTTAGTTGTTTTCCCACTGCTGCTATTCTGAAAAGAAATAAGCTCCAGCATTTTGTGAGGGTTCTTGTCTGATCCAGTACGGTAGGTGCTACTGTAATTTCTGAATCTCTGTCCAGCTTTTAGCATTCCCTCATCCAGGAAAAATATCTGGAGGTGTTAAAGCATGTCTTGAGGAAGCAGATTTCTTGTTGCAATGAGTAATATCAAAATATTCTACAAGTTCTATAAAAATGTGAATTAACATTGCATATCTCATTTTCAACACTAGATTTACCTCTGATCAGCAGACTCATGGAATAGATACTGCCTTCCTTTGGGGACCTGCTTTTATGATTGCTCCTGTTCTTCAAGAGGCAAGTAATGTAATTAAAAAATGCCATCATACTGGAATAAAAGAAATGAACAGTGCTTAGGGCATTGGATGACATTCAGGGCGTGTTTGCTCATATCCACACATTTCTTTCCTCCACTGTCAAAGCTTGCAGAACGCATTTCTAGGCAGCACAGACAGTATAAAGCTGCCCAGTGCTTGAAGTGGAAGGATGAAAGTGAGGGCACAACATTTCCCTGCTGCCACAAGTGCCGAATGGATGTAAATGGGCTGGATGCTGCCCCTTGCATGCTCCTGTTATTGTGCTGACAGCTCTTTCCAAGGACACACATGGAGCAGTAATTGCCAAGCTAGGAAGAAACATGCAGATATTAAAGCAAACTAGTTTCTGTATCACCACTCACCCACAGTGTTTTGGAACTGCAGCATCTCAAGGGCTGTGATAGGAGTTTCCCAGCATCACAGGCAAACAGTTATTATGGAATTGTGGATGTTAGCTGCTAATATGACATGTTTTAAAAAGCAGCATTTTCCTATGGCTGTGCTGGGCATGGCGCTTGGGTCAGAACTCTCACTGCTTGGCTGGACTAAGGGTGGGTTTCTCTCCTTGCCCCACCACTGGCTGCTGACAGCACCAGAAAGGTACGTCTGAGCAGAGCTAAATATTTGCATGTGATATATCCTAGAACTGTTTGTGATCAGTGTGCTGCCAGAATACCTGATACATTTTCTAGACATTGCTGATAATCAAACATACAAACAGCCCACAGTTAGTCACCTTTTACTTTACCAGCCCTTATGCCTCTGTGAATTTAAAACTAAATTCTTATTCCTGCATCTAAAACCATTCTGACTGCACTGAGGCGCTTCATTTGTCAGTCCTTCATCTTCAGACTTCCCCAGGTTTCTGATAGCTGATGACTAACAAGGAGATTTCACAGGGTCTCAGACCAGTAAGATGACAAAAGATGTGAGAGAAACCTTCCCATGAAGAGAGGGTGACAAGCCAGGGGTGGCTTCCTGCAGAGAAGTGAATGAAAGGGAACATTATAAGGATATATAAAATGATAGGAGGTCTACATAAGGGGTTCCTAATGTTTTTTGGGGGAAGAGCAGCACAAAAGGAAGGACAGGTGCCCGTGGCCTGATGAGGAAAGCAGAGCTCTGGGGGCAACACATTGCTGGGTGGGAGAGAGGCGGCAGCCAGGGCTTGTGCCAGCTAGCAGGGCAGGGGGCACAGATGGGCTGTAAGCCCTTCACCGTGGCATTGCAGGCCAGCAGGGACCACGTGAAACTGCAGCATGGCACCCACTTGTCTAGAGAAGATGGGTCAGGGACAGCTTTCTCTTCACTCCTTGAGTCCTAGGGTGTGAGCAAGTGAGACATCCATCAAAATTAAAACTGGGAATTGCCTTATGCACTGGCTTGTTATTTAGGGAGTCATGAAGGCAAGGTTCCTCACAATTCAGATGGTGGTTACACACCTCTGCAGACCAGAATATCCAGGGCTGTCATAGTAATGCAGAGAGAACATGGAGAGTGGGGCATCTTGACTTTATAGGAGTTTTCCTTCAAATTTTCAAGGTGTTTTATAGATAAAGCCTACCTTTATTTGTTAAACAGCTAGTGAGATGTAAACAGGCAGAGCAAACTACCCCAGCCTTCCTTACTGCAGCACTAGGACACTTTGTCTGAGACACCTAGCACTGCCTGCTGTGGGAGACAGGGTGCAGGACAAGACAGATTTCCAGTTTAGCAATTCTTGTATTCTAATGTAAGATTTGCACACTTTAATAATTAATTGGTTATTTCTTACTCCTTCTATTGCTTTTCATATATATATATATAAAATCCCTAAAATGTCAAATGGTAACTTTGCCTTAACTCTTCTCCTCCACCTTTACTTTTCATACAACACCTGCTCCCTGGAGTAGACCTTGGGAGTAATCCATAATTCTGCAAAGGGGCAGACATCTACTTTGAGAATCAAAATTAATCTGATTGTGAGAATAAGAAAATCACAACAAAAAAGGAAGTATGTTTTGATTCCAACTTTTTCTGGAGTTATTAATTCAAAGTGCCTTTAGCATGATTTCATCCCCGCAGCAATATGATGTAACACATGCTGCAAAACAAAGTACAGCACTTGTGCAATTAGCGGCACATTCTTTATTGTTATTTACCTGCAACTTTAAATTGTTGCCAAGAAGACAAATATCTGTGTATCTGCCTTGCCAGACCTTACTCCCTGCCTGTTTCTGCAACAGGAACAGTGCGATAGGCACTGAGCAGTGGTGTCCCCCCAGTCTGTCATCAGATGTGAAGTCCTGCCTTGCAAAGGCTGCTGTAGACTTCACTGGGATCGCTCAGATGTTAGAGGAGCACGCCTAGGCCAGTTACATTTGCAAGACATAAAGCTATGTACTAGACTGAAATAATCACGTAACATTGACTCATCCAATGAATGGCACCAAAACCTCCCAAATAGGGTAGGCTCATCTGTTTAGTGTTATAGATTAGCCAGCACTAGTCCACTGCCATGATAATAACTCAGCCATAATATCCAATATTTGATGTTATTAGAATATTCAGCATACATCTCTCCATGCGCAAATATAATAAAGCTAATGTAATATCAGAAATGCAAAAAGAAAAAAGACTTTAATCAGTTTATAACAATTACAGGGAGCAAGATCTGTGGATGTATACTTCCCTGAAGCATCATGGTTTGACTACTATACCGTACGTATTTTTAAGATTCAATTTCTTATATTTTTTACATAATTTAAAATGGTACAATTCCAGCAAAATAACTTTTAGCGATGTTCAGCAGTATTTTTACCTCAGCATCTGTGTTGAAGAAAACTAGAGCACAAAAAGTCTACCAGGCTAGCTGGGAGAGTAAATTACACAGCTTTCAGGAGCATTTTATTTTCTATTTTTGGTTTGTAAAGCTCTAAGACACAGAGAACTGGATTTTCAAGAGTAGCCTAGAAATTAATGAAACTGTCAACATTTCTTTTTTCCCTCCTTATTGCATGTTTTAATTCTTGTACTGAGGTGCTTCCCTCCATAGAAACAGAGACAGAAATCTGAGTCGTACTCCTGAGAACATACTGCAAACGATTTTGTGCATGTGGTTTTGCACATGCATCACTTCTGACAGAAGGCTTATTTAGAGAGCAAGGTGAGGTTCCCCTCCGAAAGATGCTTCCAAGAGACGCAGAAGAATCTGCTCTGTGGCAGGGACTACAAGTTTTGACCTTTCGAACACCATCCCCAGTACTGCATTTCCAAAAGTGCTCAGTTTCAACCTAACTACGCTCTGCTGCAATCTGCAGCATAAGACCAGTGTTGGCTTAAGTAGTTAGGCTGATGCTAAGAGATTTTGAAAATGTAAGCCCAGGAGCATCAGGCTGTTGTTAACTACCATGAGCGACACTGGCAGAGGAGCAGGCAGGACTGAAATGCTCTCAGAGGAAATTCAGTCTTATTTTTAAAGAAGCTTGGTGATTTTCAACATTTGGTTGGTGTCGTGAGGGGGGTGTTCATACAACCCTTTCCCTTTTCTCTTTTGATAAGACTGTGGCACTGCAAGGTCAGGAATTTCATTCAGCTCTTCTTGTAGTGGTTCCTTCTGAGACCCCTTGCTGGCCTGGGCTCAGGAATGGAAGCCCCCGTGTCCCTTGCCGTGCCCACAGGTCATGCCCCCAACATTAGCAAAGCTCAGCTCCCAGCATTTGGTACCTACTTGCCATACACGTGGTGCTTATCCAAAACAAAAAGTTGGGTACTTACCATAACTTATAACTACCATTTACAGAGTGCAAGAGCAAAGCCTTCCTGTTATCTACTTTCTATGTAAGCCTTGCCTACACCTGGTTTTCAGGCATCAAACCAAAAAGGAATGATGCAGAGAACTTAATGTTGGTTGTCTACACATACACGAATTTCAGTCATTGAATGCTGTAATTACTTTTTGAAAGGGGAAGGCTTGTCCTTAAAAGAGAAGAAAATCTGCAGTTTACATTCCCAAATGATTATGAATCACTTACCTTAAACTGAAATGTGACTGGCTCCATATGCATAAAAAGAGAAGCAAAAGTTTCTTTTGCTTTTTGCTCAGTGTCTTGATGAGGGTTTTTTTTTTTCCATAGCATATGGAATAATGATACCATTTTTAAAGATGATTTGCTGTCTTTCATTCATGATGCTTCTATCTCATGCATATGCATAACTGCAGGGGCTAGATCCTCTTTCATATTAAAAAGGGAACTGGAATAATACCCCTGAAATCTGCTTTTTTATTTGGATTTTCACTGATATAATTGAGATGAAAATGTACCCCTTGGTCTCTTTTTCAGTGGTACATGGTCACAATGTATAGTGCCTGGATTTGTATTTTTTTAAGTGCATTAATTTTTGTGGTAGGGTGATAAATTGCCAAGTACCTGGAACAAGAACTATGCAACAGTGGCTGCCCCATTGAGCACGATTCCTCTGTTCATTCGTGGAGGCTACATCCTGCCAGAACAAGCACCAGCCACAACCACTACTAAGAGGTAATGTCATCTATGTCCATCATCAAACAACCATGGTGCGCATCAGGCCCACAGACAGCCAAAGAAGCAATCAAAAAAAAGTGCAGAAGAGAGGCTATCTGCAGCTCCCAGCTGCCATCCCAGGTGATAAGCACAGTATTTTTATCCTGTTATTCGCTCCATTGCGTTAGGAGAAGTCACCCCAGAGATGACCTACATCATCGTTTGCACAGCTGAAACCTACTCCTGGCTCTGTGGTTATGCTCAGAAAAGCTTTTGCACCTCTTACTGCCACGCTGACCTGCTGTCAGTCATTCAAAGTAAACATAGGCAAGGGGAAAATGCAAAACTTCTCCTTGGATGAATTTATCAAATGCCATGGGCAAGGCGGAACAGCTCAAATCTCTTTTGAGGAAAATGATTTCCCTGTGCCAATTGGGAATATACTGGTCTCAAGTCAGAACCATGCTTGGAAGCTAACGTGAATGGGGAAGGAAGGGAGCAGACTGCAGCAACCAATCCAAACCATAGTAAGGTAGCACTGGTGACCATTTGCCTCCCAGACTGTCCAGTTATCACAACATTAAGGCCACTAAAGAAGTGGAAACTGGTCCACATGAGCACTCAGAAGGTGGGAATTTTACACTTCGGTGGGCTAAGGCAAGGCAAAGTTTTTTCATCATTTCAGGAGCCCTTTTTGTGGGCATGTTTAGCATTCTTCTGTTGTGGCCCATTTTGTAGCCTTAAAATTTAAGTTAATTGTGTTCAGAATTTTTTGTTAAATAACTTGGAAAAGTCAGTGCCCACAAGTTTGTACTGACCCTTCTCAATATGTTTGTCAACAGCCGTCTGAACCCATTTGGGCTCATTATTGCCCTGGATGAACTGGGAGAAGCTTCTGGGTCTCTCTTCTGGGATGATGGTGATTCAATCGGTAAGCCTGGTCCCCAGCTGTGAAGCAGTGTCTGTATACAGGGCTTCACAGGCCTCCTTTTCAGCAGTATAATGGCACTGAGTCCTGCTAGAAATAGGTGGAAAGCTGACCCTAAGCTGAACATTACAGAGGTGAAAAGCAGATTGCTCTTGAAGCCAGCATTTTGATACGAGAAAGGTGTGACACTGGGAATAGCAGGTCTGCTAGACCATGCTGTGTTCCCCTGGGATTACCCTAAGACTACAGGAAGAGATCAAAGAGCCTACAAACCATCTTAATCTCACGTTAGCCACTCACTACAATTAATGTGAATTGCTTGTGGATTCTGCTCTCTGTTTTGATACCAATCCTCCTGTCCTTTTGACAGATACTATTGAAAAGGAGAACTACTTCTTGGCTAAATATACTTTCAGCAAAGTAAGTAGCAACATACAAGGTACCAACATACATACAGGTAGGTATGTTTTAGTGTAGCCATTGTAAGGTGCTGGTACCTAACTTTTCTCTGGAAAGCTTTTTTCTTACAGCTCCGCCTTTAAACCTGGAAAGCTACCTACTGCTTTCCTTTTCAGAATAAAATAATCCAACTGTGATGCTGCAGCTTTGTGTTTGCTTCATTGAGTATCATAGTGACACATCATTAATGTCCCTGCTGTGATGTGAATCTCAAAATCCACTTTTTTGGCTCAGATCTTTTTTTCTGGAGTCACAGCTTCTGGGGATGAGGGACCTTTCCCTTGTCTTCCTCCTGTGAACACTTTCAGTCTGGTATGTGCAAGAAGGCTACCTTCCTCTCTTCAGGATATCCCAGCAAATTTTAAACTTTTATCACTTGAAGTTTTCATTTCGTGGCCCAGAGAATTATGTAGTCTCACTTCTTTAGTTTGCATTTCCTTGTCTGACAGCACAGAGATTGCTCCCATGGTTGGTCTCCTGCAGAGTGATTCAGCACGCTACTGGCAACCCACCGTGCTGATCAGATGCTCCATGCAGCACAGTAATAGATTAGCTCAGGGTCAGTGCCCTAATGTCTTTCACATAGTACTCACTTCTGCACAGACATGTTCTAAGAAAGCTCGATACAAAAACTCAACAGTCTAGGCTACAACTAAGAAAAATACTGTGAAATAAATCTACTAGAAGCTCATTTAGTATATGATAGTAAGTTGTGAAAGTTATTGTAATAAACCTTAACCTACTTCAATTAGCTATATAGATCATATTTTGTCTACAATTCTGGCATCTGGTAAAAAATAGGATATTGTATGTAGACTGTGGCATGGTTTTGGTTGACAGCCATCTGAACATGAGCCAGCAGTGTGCCCAGGTGGCCAAGAAGGCCAACAGCATCCTGGCCTGTATCAGAAATAGTGTGGCCAGCAGGAGTAGGGAGGTGATCGTGCCCCTGTACTGGGCACTGGTGTGTGCAGTTTTGGGCCCTCACTACAAGAAGGACATTGAGGTGCTGGAGCGTGTCCAGAAAAGGGCAACAAAGCTGATGAAGGGTCTGGAGAACAGGTCTTCTGGGGAGCGTCTGAGGGAACTGGGGTTGTTTAGTCTGGAGAAGAGGAGGCTGAGGGGAGCCCTTATCGCTCTCTCCAGCTGCCTGAAAGAAGGTTGCAGCCAGGTGGGTGTCTTCTCTCAAGTAACAAACAATAGGAGGAGAGGAAATGGCCTCAAGTTGCACAAGGGAAGGTTTAGATTGGACATTGGGAAAAATTTCTTCGCTGAAAGGGTTGAAATGTTGGAACAGGCTACCCAGGGAAGGGGTGGAGTCACCACCCCTGGAGGTATCTAAAAGACGTGCAGGTGTGGTGCTTGGGGACATGGTTTAGTGGTGGGCTTGGCAGTGTTAGGTTTATGGCTGGACTCGATCTTAAAGGTCTTTCCAACCTAAACAATTCTATGATTCTATGATTTTTCATGCCATGTATTCCTAAAAGCCCCAAAGAAGTCTACAGAAAATATTCAAAAGAATAAAATTGTGTTAACCCCTATTGTGATTTTGCTCTTAGAATGTATGTCTTCCAGGAGCAAGGGCAAGCCAGGGTAAGACAATGTGTTTTATTATTTATGTTTGTGAGATATTTTCCTGGAACTAATACCACATGTCTAGACCTAAATTTAATTTAAAATTTATTTTCTGCTTGATTTACCAAGAAAAAAAAATTCTTCTTCTTCAAAAAAAGGGTATTTCCACAGCAAAATGAAGAAAAATAATTTTGGCTTTCTGTAGTCTGTGTATAGTAATTTATTGCAGGAAGGCTACAGAAAAACAATATCCAGTTTTATATTAAATTCTGATCTGTGCAAATTAGATTATTGATTCACTGCCACTTCCATTTCTCATTGCTCATATTTGACTTCTGCCTGTAAATCCATGACTGAAGCTCCTATCTGCATTCCAATAACCTCTAATGTCAATTTTTTATTATGTGTTTATAAAGAAAACAATCCATCTCCAATAGCAAATTGTAGAGGTCTAAGAAATATATGAAAGTCTTGGTATTTGTTGCACATTTCTGTATTCTTAAAAATTGTGGATGAATAATTTAATCACACCTAGTTTTAAGAGAACACACAAGGTTTGTTCCCTAAGAGATTAACTGATAAGGTCTGACATCACAGCATTTACTCTGAAGCCATCACAGTGTTGCACAGGTAACAGCTACAGGATTAGACCCTCTCATTTACCTATATTTTAATTTAAACAACCCAGAATTACAAAGAAGAATTCAAAGCTAGTGCAGGCACTTAAATAGCAGAAAATTATTCAAGCTGCCTGCTCTCTGGTATTGTCTCACTGTGGTTGGTATTTTAATTCGCTTGGCACCTTCATTTCGACATACATGATGGCTAATCAAGCCAAAGTGCCCCACATATTAAGCCTACCAGTCTAGAAAAAGACCTGAGCCAGATGTATAATCATAGAATCACAAAATGGTTTGAGTTGGAAGGGACCTTAAAGACCACCTAGTTCACCCCCCCCCTGCCATGGGCAGGGGACACCTCCCACTAGACCAGGTTGCTCAAAGCCCCATCCAGCCTGGCCTTGAACATTGCCAGGGAGGGGGCAGCCACAGCTTCTCTGGGCAACCTGTTCCAGTATCTCCCCACCCTTGTAGTGAAGAACTTCCTGATATCTAATCTAAATCCATCGCCTTTCAGTTTGAAACCGTTACCCCTTGCCCTATCACTACACTCCCTGATCAACAGTCCCTCCCTACCTTTCCTGCAGGCCCCCTTTAAGTACTGAAAGGCCGCTATAAGGTCTCCCTGGAGCCTTTTTTTCTCCAGGCCGAACAGCCCCAACTCTCTCAGCCTGTCCTCACAGGGGAGGTGCTCCAGCCCCCCGATCATTTTTGTGGTCCTCCTCTGGACCTGCTCCAACAGCTCCATGTCTGTCTTGTGCTGGGGGCCCCAGAGCTGGACAGAGTACTACAGGCGCAGTCTCACAAGTGTGGAGCAGAGGGGCAGAATCCCCTCTCTCAATCTGCTGGCCACACTGCTTCTGATGCAGCCCAGGATGCCATTTGCTTTCTGGGCCGCAAGCGCACATTGCTGGCTCACATTCAGATTTTCACCCACCAGCACCCCCAAGTCCTTCTCTGCAGGGCTGCTCTTAATCTACTCATCGCCCAGCCTGTATTTGTGCTTGGGATTGACCCAATCCAGGTGCAGGACCTTGCACTTGGCCTTGTTGAACTTCGTGAGGTTTGCATGGGCCCACCTCTCCAGCCTTCAAAGTCCCGCTGGACGGCCTCCCCTCCAGTGGTGCGGTCGACATGCTGGAGGGAAGGGAGGCCATCCAGAGGGATCTGAAGATCCACTGCACTTCAGGGATGAGCAGGGAGAGCCATAAGGTCTGCCTTCATCCCCAGATGTGGCAGACAAGGCAGAAGTGCTTAGACTGTACCAACTAAGTCCAGACTACACTAAAGGTATGTGATGGGAAGGCTTGTCCAAGGAAACGGGAGCTTCGGAAAGGATACGGTAGCCACTAGGTAA